ATGGCCAGAGCTGAAGCAAACCCCTTGAAAGGGGTTGAGCCGTTCCAGCTCTGGGGTCTCTTGAGTGTGCTGGGCGGGATTCCTGCCTGCATCTGCTGGATTCCTGCCTGCACCTGCGAAATTCCTGCCTGCACCTGTGGAGCAACTGCACCAAACTCTCCACTCTGCACACCCACAGCTGAACGCAGGTCAACAGTCGCAGCAACAGTGGCCTGTGGCTGAGCTTCCACCTCAGCCTGCTGTTCAGTGTTCATCTCTGCAAGAACAGCCCTGATAATCTCCCTGAGCCCCTGCTGGGAATCTGCCCCAACAGCAGATAGGCGCCCTGCCTACGACTGAGACACAGAAACACCCCTGGGAGCCTGAAGCACTGCTGGGGAACCCCGGTCGACCCCTTCAGACCCGGTCGCCACTTCCCCTGTTGGGTTGCCTGAATTGCCCCCCACCTGGATTTCTGCAGGAGCCTGGGCGCCAATCTCCCCCTCGGCAGGCTCTGTCACCACTGGGGTGCCTGTAGTGTCCCCAGAAGGCCTTCTTGCAGGTCCTTCTGCGCCTGTTCCTGGTTGTCCTGGTCCTGGGGCGATCTCCTCACCACCCTCTGGATCCAGGATCTCTCTCTCAGCATCTGCTGCTGAGCCAGCCATCGTCGACCGACAGGAGGCCCTTGGCCACGGGCCCCCAGCCTCTGGAGTCTCTCTGGCCGCTCTCTTCGCCTCTCGGTCCCGGTTCGAAGTGGCTCCGAAACCAATGTAGCGCGCAGTGGCGCCAAGAGGGGAAAAGAACCCCAGACCAGACTCCAAGACCCATTAAGTACTGCACCCATCTCTCGCAGTACACCGGTTGGCGACCGGCGGGTCACTCTGATCCCTGATAACTCATCCACTCTTGGATAGTCCTATTACAGTGCCAAGTACTCCAGTACTATGGCCTGCCTGATATTCCCAAGGATGGGATGGTTTAGAGATGCCGTTGCCAATCCAGGCACTCTCCTGATAAAGTACTGTGAAAGTGATATTACTGTAAAGGCGGTGCGCATTACACAGCCTGTGGTGTTGTTAAGAAGTGTATGAACTTTGTGTAAGTCCTGTGGGTTGGAAAAAAAGGATTGTGTGCTGGTCTTCTGTGTGATTGTGCTTCCCAAGGAGCTGGAATTTTCCAGCCATACTTTTTGAAGCAAAGTGCTGTCTGGTTCAAAACTGGAAATAATCGAGCTGAGCCAAGATGCATGTCCCTTGAGTTATCTTTGAAGTTGACTATGGAGGTTAGTTGGTTCCGCAAGTCCAGGTAGACCCAGAAGTGGTAAATTCAAAGCATGTGCGTCGTCGCCCGTCATCCGCCGGCCGTAAGAGCAGAAAACAGTGAAAGAGGGAATGGGAAAAAGGGGAAAGCGCAGCACCATCAGAAGGAATACTATTCCTGAAAAGGGTTGCAACTGAGCGCATTTGGGTGGAGCAAATGAACCTTCCACCGCATTTCCTGTACACTCCAGAGGTCCGTCAACTAGAGGTGGCCACTCAAGGGTGCCATCCGGTCCGTTAAATCCGGTTCGTTAATTTTTATCAGCTGTCCGTTAAATTTCGTTAAAGAAAGAAAAGAAAAATTCAGAAAAACAAAAAAAATCCAAAAAAATTAAAAAAAAACCCAAAAAATCACAACAACTGCGGCTAATTAAAAATCTAGTATGCTTAGGTTGAAATAAAATACAAACATACTCTCTAATAGCGAATTCCATAGAATATAAATATGAAAAAAACCCAAAAATCCCCAAAAAATCCAAAAATCCGCTAATTTTTGGTTAATTTTTGTCTTTTTTCGTTATTTTCCGTTAATTAACGGAAAATTAACGGAAATTAACCTCTGTCCGCTATTAACGGATCCGGGTGGCCACTTCTACCGTCAACTGCCCCTGGAGGTGTAGTCATTCCTTTCTGCACACTGGGCAGATTGTGAGCGTTCATTTCAGTCGGTAGGAAATTTCTTACGCCAGGAACTGACGGAGACTTTGCCGGAAAAGCAAGTGGCAAGAGCTGTAGTTTCGGCAAAAAGAAAGAACGGTACTGATCGGTCTGCTTCTAGGGAGTTGGAAGAGGTATACAGTTCTGGGGAAGAGATTCCATCAGATTGCGAAGTGCTGGGGAGTTGTACAGAAGGTGTGTCTATTGGGTAGTGCATATCTTGGGGTTGTCTGCAGTATCCTGGCAATTTTGTAGTATGGGCAAGTGGGTCAGAAGTAAGAATATTGATCGTCATTGTCCCTATACTGGGGGTGTACGAAGACAGAGTGGTTGTGTTGATATTGTAAGGGCAGAAGTGTAACAAGTGGGTTTTCATAAGGACTGTGGCCCTTCGGCCAAAAAATGGCGATCACAAATGGTGTCCTTCAACAACGGGGTAACGTGCCCATATTTATTATGCTACAATTTAGCGCTTCACCCTTACAAGTACGCAACTCGATCTTGGCCACCTTGCAGTTTTAGGACAGCCGCAGCAATGTTTATTATGAGTGGCACCTCGATCTCTACTCCTTTGGCTCCGTGGGAGCTAGGAGAGGGCCCTCCTTATGAAGTGTTTTTTTGTGCGGGTCCAGCGAGACCTTGACAACCTTCATATTTCTGGCCAAATTGACAAGGGTTCGCAGTACTACCATATGGCCGGTACTTATCCGTTGTGGACAAAAAATTGATAACACTTACTAACCTATAAGTGGTCCCTTGAGCAAATTTTGAAATGAAAATAATGGGTGGATGATACAATTCTAGCCTGTCAAACAAATTGTTTCATTTAATTCTGGACGTAAGAAGCATATCATGTGGTACTCATGTTGGTAGCATTATGCTACTTGAATCCAAACAATACACCCAATGAGTGATGCATTCATAGGTGATCCCCTATTTGTCTCATGGGCTTGTCATCCATTTCCCGTTCTTGGCAACACAAATGGCCATTGTGCTCATCCTCTCTAAGAGCAATTGAAAGGGGTGGGCCCATAGCCAAATGGCCAAACTGCACATCATACTGTTTCAACCAACAGCATCGTGATTAGATACGTTCGCACTTGCTTTGGGACTGGATACGACATCTTGTGTCAAGTTGTACCTGGCCCAATCTCAGTGGAAGGCAAAGGATCGCAGTAGGCCCTATCCAACCTTGCCGTCAATTGACGTTGTTGTTTAGCTAAGCCTGCGTCTCCAGTCCACCCTCGTGGCACCTCATCTTGGGTATCACTGCCTTTTCTCGGCCACACCAGCACTTTGGTCGGGCCACGTGCCGTTGGGCCCCGCCCCCATCTTCCCAGCGACGGCTGCGAAACGTGTGGGCAAAAGCGCTTTAGGGACATCATGTAACCCCTGAAACTGCATGACTTGTTTGCAATTAGGCGGGTGGTGCGACGACGCCGCACGCGGCCTGCTCACACCTTTGCCGGTACGGCGACCGGGAGCTGCGGGATCTGACCGGCAAAGTAGATGCGCGTGAGGACGTGCCGGTGGATGCGTCACCAGGCAAGATACATGAGAGACGCGGCCGCCCCTTGCGGGCCGCCACAACCCAGAGTGTCGACCCTTCGACGACCGTCCGCCCGGCAACGCTGTTGCTTCGGGTGCTGGCTTCTCTCTCGGCCTGGTGTTTTAATTCACCTTGGCGTCTCCAACAGGGTGGTTTCCTGGGCTTGGAGCGCATTTTCGAGGGGAACCTGCGGAAGGGCCATCGCGGACCTAACACTGAAGGGGTTTGCGGATTGCGAGGCCTTCAACAGGAAGAGAACTGCCGGTGCGATTTTGCTGCAGAAGGAGACCAGCTGGGAAATGAGCCATGCGCGGGTTCAGTGGTCATCTGTTTTCTCACTATCAGGTTGAGGTTGGGGACGGCGGAGGGGATGGGGTTGGGGCATGCAGGGACAGGCAGGGTGACGTAGTGTGTGGTGTGGTTGGCGCGAGGGCGGAGAGCCATGCGAGGAGAGCGGTCGCCCTTTGACGCGTCGTTCTCGACGGGAGTGTGATGCGACACATTGTGCAAGAGCGTCCCTGGCAAGAACTGGATCGAAGGGTGGTTAGCGCGTGTTGTGCCTGGGCGCCGGTGGGACAATGAGCGGCGGGTGCGGGATAAGATATTTGGTCTGTGGCGCGGGGGGAAACGCGTTTGGGGATTTGCCTGCGCTCTAGGCTCGGAGACGGCGATTCGCCTTGCGGCTGGCTTTGAGCGGGTCGGCCTAGGGGCTGAAGGCCACCCCTGTCCAGCGCGTTCCGTGGTGGGCGACAGTCATGGACCCCAGCGGAAGCCGTGCGGGTCTTAATTTGGCGGCGCTGGTTGGGCGGCCCCCGCACATGGCTCAGTGGTAAAAAGGGGAAGGGGAGGATGGAAGGGAGGGGGGGGGCGCCTCGGCAAGACGCCATGGGGTCTGATCTTCTGGGGTTTAGTAGGCGACAGTGCGTCGCATGTCCCGTGGATGTTAGGCGCGACCAGCGCAGTCGCGGATGTGGCCGGCCGGGGCGCCGATTCGATGGTTTGCAACCCGCCCTACAGGTTTGGTAGCCTGCTGATACCCATGTGGCCCACACCCGCCCATTCCCACACCTGCCACCTGCAGAGCCGCGCTGCCCACGCGAATCCCCCGCGGCCTCCCCTCGTTGTTTATGTTTGAAAGCCCATTGGCGATGGACGCTGTTCGTTGCTGCTGCCTGCAACTGGCCGTGCCGGACAAGACCGCGACCCGTCTGGCCTGCCGGGATTGATTGGCCTTGCCTTGGAAGAAATGGCCGCCCGTCGCAGCTTGGCTCGTTGGGTACGTTCAGGTATGGACTGCAGTCCCTTGCTGTTGGCAAGAAGCGCAGATCTCCGGTTCAATTGCTTTGAGAGGGATTCCACGAGCGCTCTCAGAGAAAGGCCGCGTGGCTGACCGAGCTGGAGCGGGTCGGTGACGATCTCGCAATGTGAGATTAACGCGTTGTTTCTCCGTGCGCAGGGTTAGTCTTGTGATCAGTTCGTTTAAGGTCCGACCCAAGATGGCGGACCAAGCGCTGAAGCGCATGCAACGCCGGTCGCCCTTCGAGGACGCCCTGCACAAGTCGCCCTTTGAGACGCCCACCGTCCAAGAGCACGTCGCGGATGTCGTATCCGAGTCTGCAGCCGGCAAGGAACAGCTGCGTAAGTGTGCTCTCCATATTTTGGGAAGGTATCAGTGGGGATGTCGGTCATCTGGGAGTAGGGCAACCATTTTCGCCACACGACATGTCTTGGGGCATGCTGATAACTCACCACTTGTTTCCATCGACGCCTGGCCACTGACCGACCGCAGACTGGGATCCCGCACCCCTCTGATGCTGCCTTGCGTATCCCCGCAGAGCTTTTCTCCAAGGGCGCGGCTGCCGCGGCGCCGAAGGCCAAGCACCTGTTCCCGCCGCCGCGTCAGGGACAGCGGATCGCCCCAGGCACTTCCCCCTTCGACCACCCGCCCCCAGGCCTGGGTCCCCGCTTGCCCTGCCTGACCGCGCCACACAAGCTGTCCACGGGTGCCGACGGCAGCCCTTGCTTCGACTGGCAGCTGGTCAAACAGATGGGTTCCTCAATGGAGGACATACTGAGCATCGTTGGCAGATTGTCTTCGAGCTTGGGTCACAACGAGGGTATACGGACCGCTGATCCCGGGGCTAGCTGACTGCCGGCGTTTTCAGCTCCCCACGGGATGGCTGTGGGGTGTGCTCAGGAGGCTATGGATTGACCTTGCTTCACCTTTATCCGTTGTTGAGCTTGTGCCGAGCATGAGAGCACCCCAAGCGGCCTCCAAGGGCCGTGTGCCTTCAGGCGCAAAGGTTGATTGGCTGGTCGCAGTTTTTTCACTTTTGTTCAGGTTGAGCCCTCCCATGTACAAATTTGTCCGGACTGCGAGGATTGAACCCGAATGAGAGACGTGAAATCGAAAAAGGAAAAGTCGGAATATGTGTTGTGCCAGTTTGAACGTTGTGGGAAATTACGTGGTGATGGGGCAGTTGGCCTTGGAGGCGACGACAAGATGAGGCTGCCTGAGTGGTTGGCTTTAGAGGCAGCATCGTGCACAGCCATAGATGTTTTTGATTGTGATACCTTTCTTATCGCAGGACGGCTTTTGGATACGGTGGTGGTATACTGCGTGATTGGCAGGGAAGGACAGGTTTCTTCCCTTCCTGTCCCCTACCTAGGAGCCAAGATGGGCTCGTTTTTTATGTGGCTGTATTTAAGTTGCCTGCAGAGAATGTTTCGTTCGTGGGGCTGCCAACACCAGCGAGACAGAGAGAGTTTCTGGTTGGAGGGCAGTGCCCTTGAGAAATTGATGTAAGCATCAGGCCCAGGGTCCCAAGTCGCGGTTCCACTGCCAAAAAGTTCGCATTTGCATTTTTTTCGAAACTAGAGAGTACAAAGCACTTTTCAGTGCCAACGTCACCAAGGTGGAAATCGGAATCTTGCCATGGAAACAATGGCACAAATTCAAGTTTGCTTGAAACTTGAGTGCTCGCTCAGCCCCGAATCTCGAGCGATGCCTTGCATCAATGGCTTGACAACTACCGTAGCGCCTCTGGGAAGCAACCATCAAGGGACTGAATTCTGCAAGTGTCACTGAAATAACAAAGATTGAGAAGTCTCAAATTCTCACAGGTTGCCCCAAAAACCATCATTTTGGAGAGCCTGCGGAAGATTTTGTTTACCGCGACCGTTGACTGACCGGAGAGACGGCTGTCTTTGTTTCTTCAACCCCGTCGAAGACAGCCGGTGTGGACAATGGTGGTTGCGTGCCCTGGGGTGTGCACCAGCGCACAGGCCCCGCGGAGGTTTGCTTTTGCCGCTGTGTGTCTGTCCTTTTGTGCAGAGCAAAGCGGGGAGGCCTGGTTGCACCGCATGGCGACGAGCGTGATAGTGTGGCGGAAGGCACGGGGGCACGATAGACGCGTGATGTGTAAGGTGAATTTGCCCCTGTCGACCGCAAGCCGACCTGATCAACGAATGAAGAAAGCTTGAACCACCAATCGAAGTAAGTCGGTTGGGCTGACTCTGAATGGCGTGAATGATAGCTCAACGGGAGGGCGGACACCGAACCTTTCGAACTAGCTGACCCTACGCGCACCAGGGGTTCTGGGTTGAGGCTGTGCCCATTGATGACACCTCTGGCTTCGTGTTCCCATTGATCTTACCGTCTCGCTGGCCTCGCCTCTGATGGCGACTTCAGTGGGGAATTCCGACGTCCACAACTTCAAGTCTGACGCCGACTGCATTTGGGGGCCGCCGCCACCTTTGATGCTTAACAACGTCATTCAAGAGTTTTTGTTGACTCACAGCTCAAGGAAGGTAACAGCAAAGAGTAGCAAGATAATATTCACCAGTTGTAGATCCGGATGTTAACCATGTGCAGATGTGTGGTCCCATCCAGGGCTTACAAATCCTTGCAGGAACAAAACAGTCAGATCCATGAACTCTTGCCAAAACTTTTGACACTGCAAGACTGAGGCATGGCTCACCCCATCGACTTTGTTCTGTTGGCACAGCTGCTGTATGTGGAGATGTACTCTTTGTCCACTGGTCTATGTGGCTGTGGGCAAACTGCTACAGAACCTGTTTCAATGCCGGGTTGCACACCAAATCCGCACCTGCTTGCCCTCTTAGCCATTTCAAGCAGAACATTCGCAGTGCCACTACCTTCTTGTGCCCTAAATATTGCTAAGGTGATGAAGTGCGCCTGCTGTTCAGGAAATGTCCATATGATCCTCTGCAATGTCACATGGTCATGCCAGTTCTGGTACATCAGGAAATCTTGTGACATGTCAAGCGATGGCAACTGGCACGAACTCAGATCTCCATATGAAAGAGTTGTTGTTCCTTTGTGCATGAGAGACAGCCTGTTGTCTGATAGCCACACATCTATTTGTGGAGATCATTGTGTGACAGAAAATGGAATCTCTTAGGCAGATTGACATCCCTGACCAACTGTTGCTGATTGGCAACAGCTGGTGCAGAAATGAACATACACATATTCCTTGGGGGTGTGCTCACGCGCACACTGTTTTGCAAAAAGTTACAAGGTGCAGTGCTACACAGTGCACATTGACGTTGCACTAAGTCAGCAAGTTTTGAAAGCCATCAACATATTGTTACAGGGCACATCTCGGTTGAGCAATATTCAGTGCCCTGCAGAATTTCCTAACCCCACGATCTTGTTGTCGATTCTTCTGCCCGATAGGCATTTCTACAGTCATTGGCTATTGTGGTATGTCGTTTTTTGGCAGACTGTGCACACATCTTCTGTAATTTGTCTCCTATGGCATCAGCCATGCTTGCTGTGAGAGGTAGCCCAGTTTCATCACACGGACACAGTCATGCAAAGTGGCAAGTGACAACCACTGAGAGACCATAGTTGCAACGAGGTGTTGCTGAAATAAAGTCCAGGCTCTTTTATGTCAGATGTCTTTCTGTTCAAGGTGCCCCATGTTATCGCATGGATAAAAACATGCAAAGTGGCAAGCAGCAACCATAAGAAAGGTATAGTTGCAGATAGGTGTTCCTGAAGTATAGTCAGCAAAGCTGCAGATATTGGGTATTTGGAGCCATAAAGCGAAAACAACGTGTTGTCTCCACCACACAGATGCTTGCTGATTGGTCCCTGCACAGATCTCTTTCATGTGTTCAGGGTTCCTATTGACAGGCTGGATGCAAGCACCTACGCTTCCCCTTGCACATGGTGCCATACTGTGGAATGGGGTGCTGGGTGCATCGATTTTCTTGGCACAGCGTATTGTATGGGACCATCTCGGAGGGACAGTTGTGTTTCTATGGCTCCTTTGGCACATGTCAGTGCAGCCTTTAGGGGATTGTCATGTGTGTGTGAGCGAAGCAGTCGTCTTTCATTTAGTCTGTTTAACTGAGGCTGGCATGTCTACTGTGTGCTGCCACTGTTAGGCGACAAGCCATTGCTGCAGACAGCAAAGTGTGAGTCCATTCCTGCTTATAAATTGTGGTAAACATACCAGTTAGATGAGTTCTATCAAGGCTCAAATATAGTGGCGCAATGCATGGTGAAAGGCCCTGTTTGCAGTTGTGAGAAAAACCCACTGTGACAGGTGCACTGAAACACATGGTGTGGCACAGCTGCAAATGAATAATTGCTCTCTGAAAGGATCCAACTCGAAAGGAAAAGGCATGTGTTGCCTTTGGCAACATTCTTCTGAGGAAAAAGTTCCCAAGTATGGTTGCTGCTGTCAGCTGTTCCTTAGGTCAAAAAGGGTGCGATAGCCACCTTGATGGCGAGTTTTGTTTGGTCACATGTTCTGTGCCCTAAAAGATTTCCAGAACTGAAATTCTATAAATGATTCTTGTATCAGGTGTCTGTCTTACCCAACATTTGTGGACGCAGGTGGGTCCATAGCATACTGTGAAGCAAGTGATGCGTGCAGATGCTGCCTGCCAGCACACTGCAGCTGTGTCAACTGTTTTGGATGCAGCTGAAACTGACTGGTGGGAAGCGATGGTGCCTGCAATGCTGGTCCTGTTGCAGACACCCTAACAGCTTGTATTGTGTGACAGGGGTTGCACAGCTGGCCCAGCAACATGCATATGCGTCGTTTTTGCAGATTTCAAAACAAGGTGGGTGCCAAGATGGAGGATGTGCACCGATTATTCTCACAAGCAAATCTTGCAGCGGTGTTCCCCACTGAAACGAAGGAACTGTGACTTCCTGTGATGAATAGCTTGTAGAAATTGTCAAGTACAACTAGAATGATATACAAAAGTGAGCGGTTGGAGGGGTGTGGGGGATATTAAAGGATCAGGATAGGGCGACTGCAGTCTCATAGTGCATCAGCTGTTTAGCTGCCCTGTAGATGCATGGGGAACCGTAGCGCATCCCCCTGGAATGCCTTGGGTGCAATTTTTTTGCTGTGCAGTGCAATGCGGGTGACCATGTCAGATACATCTGTAACTCTGCACAGACTTGTGCCTTTAATGTACAACTCAGTCCTTTGTGAATTTCAGTCTCTCATATGTCCTCCACAATAAGCAGCCAACCGCCACTCAGTGGCTCAGAGGAACTTTGCCGTTTAATTTGTGCAGCTACCCCGTTGTAGAGCCATATCCCAACCTGCAATAGCTCTAAAACAGACCCCATACTCATGTTTGAATCATGGCAGTGCACCTTGGGATGCCACTTGTCCCCAGGCCGCCCCAGCACACCCTCATACATGTTCAAGAACCAACACATTCGTTGCAGACTTGGTGTGTGGCTCTTCATGCCAAGACCGTCATTTTTGGAGCCATGAGCATGTGGACATTGTCACGTATTGAAGCGCCAAAAGGCTGCAAATTGAATACTTGGCCAAGTGCTCGGGTAATGGGCATTACAGAGGCTGTTGGGAATTCACCCACCTGCCTTGAGCGCCAGAATAGATGTGGAGACCACCGAACACGTCACGATGGGGGTTGTACACTACCCTGATGTGCACAAGAGTGTGCCCGAAAGTACTGACCGGAAAGACAGGGACTTTGGGTTGCCATCACCTCCCAATTTTCACAATCCGCCGCCCAGATGTGCGACCTCGTACACACCAGCCAATGATATCGCCATCACGTTGTTCTCGCAAAAGCCATACACATCAGCAACCTTGTGTGTGCAGCTTCCCCGCACTGCGCACCCTGCGCACTCCTTTACGTTTCACGCTTGCCGATGTGCGAGAGAGAATCCAACGAGCGGCGCGACATCGGAAGATCTGGCGCAGTAGGCTCTTCGACCCAACGACCCCACCCAGGCCCAGTACACTGCGAGGGACTCGTTGGGAGGGGTGCCACCGCCACCTACAGGCATCGGCTCAATGAGACTCGAGTGGCCATGCGACCCTCGTGGTCAACGAGAGCCTCCCACGTGTGACACACGCCCAAAGTGGCCTCACAGAGAATATTACCGCAAGCACCCCCCCGCGCGGGCATCACTGCCGGTTGAATAAACTCCAAGCAACGCGTAGCTCTCTGATCCGGCATCGGATCGCCGGATCGCACGTCGGCATCAATCCCTATGTGGATGACAAGAGGTGCTGCGGATAAGCACAGCGTGGGCCATCACGGAATTGCCTCGTAAGTTTGCACCACGTGGTGCGATGGCTTCCCTCAACCCCCCAACCCGCGGCCCACACGGCTTCCCTGAAAGGGTTTCACCAGTACTTCGGCCTACAATGTCGTGATAGCGGGAGTTTGGCTGGGCAATAATCCAGACCTGCGTCAGCAACAGAAATCAAGACAGGGATTTTGTGGCACTGCGAATGGCGTCCGTCAGCCCAGTGTTGCCCACGTGGCGGATGACAGTGTGACTAACCCGGGGGACTGGGGCTGTCGCTCTTGCCTGCCCAACGTTATTAATCACCAATCACCCGCCCGCATTACGACCACATCACCCCACACGTCCCTCTCCTCGCGCTTTGCAGGAGAACACCGCTCCTGGACGGCCCCCGGGACAGTAGACGCTGGTGTCACGCACGAGAAGTGGGCAGCGACCTGTGTGGCGGAGGTAGGGCGGCGCACCTGTGGCAACACGACCGGCGTCAGGAGGGCTGCGTGACCGACAGAGGCTCAAGCGCTCTACCTGGTCTCCTGTCGGGACCAAGCCACAGGAATTGATCAGGTACGATGTATCCCAGAAGGCAGCGAACGCAAGGGGAATCGGAAATACTGTTGTTGCTGGCGCGCGGCGGTAAGGGAGTGGCGGGCGCCCGCCGGAAACCATGGGCGGCCCTCTGTGCGTGGCAGCTTCGTTGGAGGACATTTTTTTTTGAGGGGTGCATTGAATGGTGCGCGACGAGGGTGGGAGATACGAGGGGAACACCGGAAGGGCACAGCGTCCCATTGCGGCGTCGCGGCTCGAAGTTTGAGCGCGGGGACGTTTCTGGCGAGCCTGGCGGCGGGGATTCCTGCCAGCTTGCTGTTTCAGGGGCTTTTGGTGACGTTGACTCTCGCGGCTGTGGGCTGCCGGCTGTGGGCAGCGTTCTTCGCTTCCAGTCGCACCAATCGCCATAGAGAGGTGGCGGGAAGCTCCGCTGCTGGAGGGCGGGAGCCCACAGCGCCCTCATCGCCTGTGGGAGACACGTAGCCGCGTTTCCACTGAACAAGTCAACGATGAGGGGCCGCGTCAAACGGTCACACGGCTGCGGGCCTTTCGAGACGCTCGCCTGACCAGCCTCTATCAATCAAGCTACCTTTCCGGCCGCCCGTTGGCCGCGTTTCGAAATGGAGCGGGCAGGGCAGTCTGGCGGGCGTCAGCGACGGCTCGTATCCCCTCCTGACGACCCCACCCAGAGCTGCCCTGGGCAACCGGCGCGAACCGTTGCGCCAACTCCGCTGGACTCCGCTCACAGGGCCCCAGACAGCCGGGTGCGGGATTGAGCTTGCGGTTGTGGCCCAAGGGTACAGATCTTGCGACGGCGAGTCCAGTAACAACGCGCCAACGAATGTTGTCACGGGTGACATGCCTGGGACGTATTTTCCGGCGGCAACCAGAAAGGCATGTGATTGACTGGCGCGTCTTCCCAGTCGTTCAGGCACCCCAATCCCTGCGGCGAATCTTAGAAAATGCGAATCTGAGGATTGGCAGGCCGGCCCACCCGGTCAGGTTCCCAGGGCACACGCCGCGTGACCATGCGTCTTCGAAAGTGTCTATTTCGGCGGGCTATTTCGTATCAAGATAAGCTGGCACCACTGTCGGTCCTCTCCCACCAGGTTCTTGTGTGTTGCGCTTCATTCTTGTGACCTTCGACACACTTCCTTATCACCCGTCGCCAATTTTGTTGTCAATCCTCATCGCGAGATGACGTCGGAATGTTAGCAACCGGCGCACGCTCTTGCCTGCGATGCTAGCCATGTTTCCAGCCTCACCCTGGGCCACCCACTCGCGTGCTTGTCGCGTGGGTGGCCCCCCCGCCGCGATGCCGGCGTCTCGAGTCTGCGGGAATGTCACGGCTGAGAGCGCGGGTGGCGTCTCTTTATGTTATCATCACTGACTACATTTGCTTTTCCTGTAATTTGTGTCTCAGCAGAACTGAGCATGCAGCAAGCCAGGGTCCTGGGTCACGACCTGTGCACTTGGAAGTCGGCATCTGCAATTAGCATCATCGTGGTGATGTTGTGTGCAGAAAGGAGACCTGCGCTGTTTGGGGTCCCCTTATTTGGCCTCCAAGCTATTTTCGCTTAGAGTTTGGGTGCTGGATACTGGTTATATCATTTTGTTCCTGGGATAGTAACCACTGTCCGAAAATTGTTTGTACAGTAAGAAATAGGTTCCAGAACTAGGAAACACGGTGTTAGCTGGCGATTGCCACAGCTGGATGCCCCCTCGCGCGTTGCGTGCGAAGTGTCCAAGGATTGTTTCCCGCCATGGTCGTCGTTGGCCATACTCAAATTTTTCCTCTGGTGAACTTCCCACCCGTGAGTTATGCCATCAGTAGCAAGGGGTTCCTTACGCCACCAAATCGTAAAGCAAACCAGACTGTCACGCAATCATCGTGTATCGGCACACGTGGCCGCGGGGTGCGGTTGAAGTGACTTGTCCCCTCGCATCACGACCCCTGCGTAATGTCCTACGTAATGTACTGGGCATGTAGGGATGCATGCCGCTGCACGAGTCTCTCTAACAAGGGGCGTGTCATACGTCGTCACTCGCGGGCGCGGTGCTACAGCAAGGGTGGCGCAGGCGCAGTGTTTTGGACGACCCGGGCTCGTCCGCACGAGCCGAGGCGAAACAGGTGTAGCTCTGGGCGGGCGATGCGGCGACGCTGCCGCTCGTGGAATTGTCTAGAGACTATGAAAGACTGCGGCTGACATGGGCTGGGACTGAACGCGGGTTGTGAGCCTCCCGAGAAAGGAACTCACGTTAGATTCCCTTTCCGTTGTGCATTTCTGTCTCATCGCGCTCAGCACATCTTCTCGTCTGTTGGTGCACAGTTTAGAGGCGCTGTGAGCCCTCTGACTCACGGGCTGACGTTCCAACGTCTCTCTTCAAACGATGTCCAGGGTGCCTTGCGGGCACTGCGCTGAACCATCAGATTTCTCCACGACTCTCCCGTGCACCACTTCTCCCTTGTCGATCTCCAGGACGCGACCGCCTCCCTCGGTTGTGTCACTGTGGCAGCCCATGCGCGTCATGCGCGTAGCAGATAGTTGACCTTGACCGCAGCCGCGTTTGCCGAGGAAGGTGGACGGCGTGTTGGCAAAGCCCTTACCACTGAGCAGGAAGCACGCCCAGCCGGTCCAACACGGTTGCACCAGGCGCCCCAGCCAGTTTGGGATATGGTGCTGAGGGGCTGCCGTCGTGACGTGGATGTCTGCTACAATCCGTTGCAAAACTGACGTTGGACGCTGGCTTTGGGTGGTGGTGCTGTTGGTGCTCTAGACTGATTGCGTCCTCTACCCCGCCACCATCAGGCCACACACACACCAGCGTGCCCAGGTGCCGTCTGGGGCTTGAGGAGACGCCGTGGTGGGCGCTCTCGGAAATGAGCACCTTCTCGGTGTGGGGATGTGCTTGGCTGGCATCACAGTGCACAACCTCACGGTTGTCACACCCCAAATCCTACGACGCAGCTTGATTGGTTTGCCGACGTAGCCTTACCTAGTGCCACCTGTCCACTGGCGGCGCATAGGGCCGATTCTGACTGGTGCGGCCAAGGTTGGGGTGCATCCTGTGTGTCCTCTGGTGCGCCAGCAGCGCATTCTGGTTGGCCAACAGCGAATGTGGAATCACGTGGACGTGTGCTCGTCACAGTCGTGTGTGGTGGGGCCGGGTTGTCCCGGTGTGACGGCTGGCCTGAGGGGCCAGGGAGGCACTTGAGTACAGCTGGTACAGCGCACGCCTCCGCGGTGCGCACCGGCGGCAGCGGCATGACGTAATCTTTGTAGTGCGGTTAGCCTCCCGTAATGGGAGGTACACGGTATGGGTGTGGGCTGTTTGCCCTGAAAAGATTGCGTGGGGCGCCCACGCGTGGCCTGGGTACCCATTGTCGTGGCCGGCGCTGTCGTCGATTTGGACCTTCGCGGGCAACACGGGCGAGGCAACAGTCGCCGAGACTGCCCGAAGCGTTTGAGAGGGCCCCGAGCGCGGAGGCGGCGTGCACCGGTCCGGGCAGCACCGTGCGGTGCCGTGTGCTTTGTGGGCGGTGCCCGACGGTGCCAACTACCGCGTGAGGCAGAGAAGCCGCTCACGCTGGACGTGGAGGCTCGCGCCAGGGCCTCTTCTCCGCCCAAGTGGCGGGGAGGTCCCGCGGCCTCACAGAGCGGCGCCGGTGCGTGTCGCGTGTACTGTCATCCCTCCCTTCAAAGGTTGACGAAATCCATAGCGAGTTTCCTGGGGACGGGACGGGCCGCGAAACGGACCGTGACGCTGAGCCATAGCGAACGGACGCACCCTTCGTGTGCGGCGGGTCGGCAAAAGGGGCCTGGGGCGGCATCGTCGACTTGGTTTGGGTTTGCTGCGAGCTGGGGAGCAGCCGTAGATCGCTCTACCTGGTAGCCGCCGGCCGAAATCGATGCTCCGCGCTCCCAGGCCGCCACGATCGCCACGTTCCCTGGTTCCCAGTTTCAGTCTGTCGGCGACCTCTGCCCGCCGCTGCCCAGGCGGCGCCCATTCTTGGATCCCTCCGGTTCGGTGCGTGTCAATGCATTGCCAGCCTGCAGTCTGTTCTTACGTAATTCGCAGAACACTCTGGGACTCCACACCTGCGGGCATTGCCGCCCTGTGTTAGCCTCTCGCGGCGGCTCATCGGCTGTGCGGTCTTTGGAATCGCAGGTGTGGTGTCACCGACCAGGATGGCCGAGAGCGTGGCGTCGCCGCTGCCCGCCAGCGAGGACAATCTGGGCAAGGTGGAGACCAGCGCAGCAGTGGCGCCGCCGATGGACGCCCGCATCGCGGAGCTGCTGAGCAACCTGTCTCGCCACCGCGTGGCCGCGGTCGGTGGCGGCTTCGTGCCTGGGTTGACGGTGGGCGCGGGGGCTGATGCCCGGGTGTCCGTGTCCTCCGCCTACCACACGCCAGTACTCCAGCGGCCCCAGGCCGCCCACGGCACGGCGCCCGTCTTAGTCACCGCGGCTCCCAATCAACTCATCCAACTGTCGATTCCAGGCATGAGGGACGCAAGTCGGGCCAGCGTCAAGGTGCGCAACGCTATGCGACAACCGCCATCACGCGATTCTCGTTGCCGGCGTCGCTGGCTAGGAGCAGGGAGGGCCGCGCGCCGTCCCCTCGACACAGGCAGACGGCTTAGAGCGCTGTCGAGGGGACCTGCCGCTGGTTGCGCGCTGGCCAAAAGAACGGGATCGGAGCGGGCATGGCTGCACGCAGCGTGAGAGGGTGTCGTTGTCTGTCGCTCGAGTAGTCCGAAATCTGGGGAGCCATTCTTTGGTGGGCGCTGACGGCCACCTCGGCGCCGACAGAAGGGCGTTTCGTGCAGGCAGATTCGGGGGACCCCCTGTTGCTTTGAGGCGGCCACCGAAGGCCACCCCGATGGCGGCCGGAGTGCGTGGTGTGTGCATGTTGGCAAGCCCAGCGACTGCGGAGGGACATGACGCGCACCCGACTCGCCTTGACAGTCTGGCACTGATAACGCTCTACAGAGCCCCATCCTACCGCCGACTTTGCGAATGCCGAAAGGCGAAGGGGGTGGTCTCAAAGGCCGCCAACAGTTCATTGTGCGCTTGGCGACCGTATGCCCCTTGTCCTTAGTCTGTGTGTTCCTTTGCAGGCTGACAACGCCAGTTCCGACTCGCCGACCAGCGGTATGGCCAACGGTGGGTGCCCCTGCGTCGTCGGGTGTGTGCCAGCAGTTCGTTGTTTTCACTTGTATCCCGCTTCCCAGCCGCTGCTACTGATTGCGGTCGACTGCGCTGTAAGGCCGTCGTCTGGTGCAGAAGATCGTGGCATTTGCTTTGAAGCGGCGTTTTGTGGTTTGTTCAACGGTGCTGTTGTTGCAGGTGTGGGTGACATGGACGACGACCAAGAGGACAGCGGGGCGTTGTCGAGGGGAACGCAGCGCCCCAAAAGGTACCGAAATCAGAAACAAAAGCTGTCCAACTCAATGGCACAGAAACGCTACAGGGAGCGCAAGAAGCGGGCATTCATGGACATGCGCCAGGCAAGTTGAGCTTTGCAGCACCCGCCGTTTGAATTGTTGGCTTTTGCTGCCCTGTGACCACTGTTTCTGTGCGTTGGCACCTCCCTGCGGAGGAGCATGCAGCCCTTGGCGCATACCAGTCATGAGCATTTCAATGTTTCTCTTCCCTTGAAATGCTCTGCATTGTCAGAAGTCTGCTGTTGCTGGCGTTGGACTCTGAGGGGCCTTTGCCAAATATCAGCTTTATCTGATAGTAATGATGTCTGTTATAAGATGAGATCTCTGGGTTCTGGATGAGCAGCTGGCAGATGCATTGGTATTGGGTTTGTGTCCTTTTACTGGTGCTTAAGCTACCTAGTTGTTTTGGATGTCTTTGTTGTTCCACAGTTGTATGTGCTGGAAACTGAGAAATTCCATGCTTCCAAACAAACCTTGATGCAAGCGCGTGACATTGCCATTTGGGTGGAACACCTGGGAACAGCTGCAAATTGTGTGTGCAGTAGCAGAGATGCTGTGACAGCTTTTTTTTGCCAATGCTCTTTTGGACATTGCATTTGCAGACAAACTCGTCCACTCGTCTGCTGACCCTTCTGTTCGTGACACCTGCGCAGGTGATTGACAACCTGCAGGCCGAGGTGGAGACGCTCAGGGGCGTGAAGAATGAAAATGATCGCTTGCGTCAGACCACAGGTGCCCTGGAAGACCTGGTCAAGAGCCAGCAAGACCAGATCGAGGCACTTCGTGGCCGGCTGAAGGCAGAGGCCCATATGCCAGAAGCCTCCTCAGCAGGGCCGAGGGAAGCAACTGCTGTGGTGCCGAAGGATATGGTGGGTGCTGCGGTCGCTGTCATAGCTAGATAGACAGCGATGGAACAATGTGGTGTTTCTCATGTCTGTTGCCCTCTCACATGTGGCCTTGTGGTGTGCTGGCATTGTGCTGTCAATCCTGGGTGGTGTTGAATGTTGGTTAGGGTGCCTAGTTAAGGATGGAAAGTGGGGGCATCACACAACCATGTACATGCAAACCCGTGGCCTGTATTGCTCCACCAACTGCTCTCTCAAGACCGATTGCAACCTCATAATCACTCTGCCTGCTTTGCAGGCCGCAAGAGCGACCTTCCTGGACTTGCTTGCAGGACCATTTGAGCAAAACCTTCTTGACAAGGCTATGCTTGTGACAAGGATATGCTTCAGCGTTGCTGTCGGAATTCGCATTTTTTTTGGCTTTTGTGTGTGTCATCAAGATCCTGTTCTCATCCTAAGTTTTCATACTGCAGGACGTTTTGATGGTGTCCTCTGCTGGGGGGGCCGATATGAACACTGACAGCACAGGCCTTGGGAATGCGTTTGTGAAGGCATACGAGATGCGACAAGCAGAGTCAGGCAGCCCCAACCATAAGCCAATGCTGCCATCCTTACCAGCAGGGCACCCGGTCACCCCAACGAGCCTGCCAGCCATTGCCTCACAACTTGTGATGCCCCTGGTGCCCGATGCAGCCATGTCAGCCACCCTGCAGAATGAGTGGAACACACATATTCTGGCCATGGAGCAGGTGCTGGAATGAGCAGAAGCGGGGCGAGTGTGTGGATTGCAGGCCTGCCATGCTCCCTCTTGGCTGCCTGAATTGATGTGCACTGTGAAGCCTTGCTCTTTGGTTTGGTTTTCATTTTGGTCCCCACAGTCCTCAGTGTGTCTGATACCCCTGCAGTATCTCTCGTGGGAGTCGTTGCCTTATTCAGCAAACACCAGTTTCCTGTTTGGTTGTGGTTGGTGAAGACATTCGAGCCTGGTCAACTCGGGGGGCGACACCTGCCCTGCACCTGCCCTGCTGAACAGAAAAGGAGTTGTCATGAATTATTTGCAATGCGCTGTGTTAAGATTGTTGTGGTGTGCTTCAGGTTCTGGTGGCTAACCAACAGCAAGGCCTGCCGAACGGGCCCATCTCAGAAGAAGCGCTTCAGTTGTTGAGCCGCATGGTCAGCAACTTATATAGTCTGAATGCGCAGTTGATGAGCTCCAAGGTGCAGCAAATCCTCGACACTAACCGCCAGAACACAGCTCGAATATGTAGAATATTCAATGGCCTGGCAGGGTGCAAGGCAGAGTGAAATAATCGTCCAGCCCAAACGATGAATGCATGAGTGCCAGCACTATCGCCTAACCAGACAAGCCAGTTCTCTGCTGTGATGGGGTCACAAGAACCTGCTGCTTCGAGGAGGATGTACTCGTGGTGTGTTCTTGTGGCAGACTGGTGCATGGTTCGTGGTGCTTTGGCTGTGGCCAGCATGGAATTGGGTGCCGTGAGTTGTGCCCTGTGAGCTGTGCAGAATCTAGAGTCAGCACAAGTGCGATGGACTGACTTTCCATGACGAGCCTTCATGTGTGCCACCCAGTGCTGGTGGATGCAAAAGCGCAGTGCAAGATAACGGAATGCGTTGTGCAACGAGGACCGTTCAAGAGAAGCTGTGGCTTTTCTGCAGTCCAACAACCTGGGCATATGCAGAAGAGCTGTCAAGCAGATAGGTTTGCATGTTGACATGGAGCTGAAACCCTGAATTGCGAGGCTGAAATCGTTTCGTCATCAATTCAGGGAAGGAAACAGGTGATAAATAGATTGGAAGAAAAGTGAGCAGGAAAGGCGTAGGGAGAGGAGAGAATAGGAATATGGAAGGACAGGGCGAACTGGGAAAGGCAGAATGGGTAGATGGGGAATGGGATTGTTCTTTCAGATCCAGCAGTTTGTGTTGCCGGCTTGCAAGAATAAGAAGAAAATCTTGTATATCCTGTGGGCAATTGGGGAAGGGTGCACAGCATGCACTTAGTCACCAAATGATAATCTGTAACTGAACCTTGGGAACTGTTTGCAGTTGATGTACCTTTGCACATGTCACGCACCATTACGTACAGGGCGCCAACCTGTACTGTGGCTGACAAAATTGCAACCTTTGAGCCCTATCGTCGACGCGCTTCGACCTTTGCAAGTGGCCGCCCCTGCACGCCTGCCCAATTTGCAACGGACGTGTTGCCTTCCACACTCTGCCATCACGCTTCTCAATGCCCATAGGTTGCTAACCTCATTGAGGCCGATTGTGCTCCCGTTGGCGCTGGCAGAGGGATGGCTAACACTACACGAGACCCACCTTGGGAGTTGATCTCAGCATTTCCGCTGGTTGGTGAGGAGGTGGGTGGCGCCTCCTTTGCCTGGGCACGATGTTGAGCGTGCCATTAGTCTCGCATGGTGAGGCGCTGTGGCCACACATCAAGCTTCAATGCACAATGCACTTATCACAAGGCGCTCTGGGTGCTCATCAACATCCAAAAGTCACTAAGTGTCGCCCGACTAGTGTCAGTGTGCGAGTGGCGTTTTGCTTTGCGACAATGTTCGCAGGGAGCATTGCGGATTTGCAGTCAAGTTCCACACCATTCATAATGTTCAAATTACTGGTAAGCGAGCACTAAGCTGGTTCCGTCAACTACCGATTTGTAATTCAATGATTGAAACCAAATGGTGGCATCTAAGAATCTCATTTCAGGGAACGCCATCAACAATGTAATTCGCGATCTTGTTGTTTCACTTGCAACTTTCCAGTTCACATAGCTGGCGGTCGGTGGCTGAACATTGATGTGCAGGGAAACTCAACGAGAAAAGTGAAAACAGAACTAGGACCAAGCTTGAAGAGATGGAAGTCCGCCACACCAAGACAGCCGCAGCTACTATGTTGTGCAAGCAGCTGTTCATGTGCTAGCTGATTGGTGCACTCGTCAAACTGATTGAGATGGTGGGAGGACGGCTGCCCAGCAATTAGCTTCAATTTTATTGAGTTTGGTGATAGTGAGGAGGTGCTGTGAATTGGAGTTATGGGTCGGTGCCTTGGGTCGATGCTATGGGTCGGTGTTGTGTGGTGGCGTGTGTGAATTGTGAGTTGCTGAAGCGTGGCATAATGAATCGTGGTCGATTTCATCTATGGTGCGTTTATACTTCATTTCTGCTGTGTGGGCTTTGTCCAGGAATTGATTTGATGGCTGATAGATTGTCGGGTCGGCCGGTTGTCATTGGCAACGGCGTTGGGTGACTCCGCGGAAGAACAGCTGTGGGGTTGAATCGAGAGTAGCGACAGCTGTCTGGTTGAAAGGCACGTTGGATTATGTGATGGAAGTGTAGCTGTCGGGTTGAATGGTGAGTGGATTGACAGCTAGATTGATGAATATTGAAAGGATTGATGGGAATATACGATGTGTGGTTTGGCATAGAAAAGTTGGACATGGCAACATTAGAACAGATCCTTGTTGGTGCTGGGTTCCGTCCTCCGAATGCCGCAAGGCCGCGTTCCGAACTGCCTGGCAGACCGCAGGCCCCCGACGCTGAAGGCGTGGCTTCCATAGCAGGGGATAGCTACTTGCAAGCGTTGGGACGTGGGCCCCGAACGTGGGGCATCTCCACACGCAGGCGACTTACTAAGGCGCGCGGTGAAGGGTCGGCACGCCCCATGAGGGCTGTGCAATCGCGGGCGGAGGGTCCCGTGCGCCAGCGAGGGCGTTGGTGTGACGTGGGTTGACGGGGAGCGACAGGAGGGGAAAGGGAGGGTGCATTACATGGTGCATCGAAGGAATCGCGAACCGTGGACGGGACTGCTGAAAGGCGGAGGTACTGCAGGTTCCAGCAATAAGTGCGGGCTACGAACGAAGGCTGAAAGGGGGCGATGTGTGGTCGCCGCTTCTCTGGCTGACTTCGGAGGAGAATCGGCCATCATTCTGCGCATGATGGGGCGTTTCTTTGAACAAAGCTTAGTCTGCCGCTTTGCCTGTGAATTTCATGGTCAAAAGAGGCATACTCTGGTATTTGGAGAGCCCAATTTTTGTTTGTGGCTTCTCTTGGTTTTGGGTGTAAGACCAGCTGAATTGAGGCTTGGCTCCTTTCCGGACCTGGCATGTCGAGTGCCTTTGAGCATTGCATGCACGAAGGTTGCTGCTGAGGTCGAACCAAAGTGTTTGACCTGTGCCGTGACAGTGTGATCGACAGCATCTGTTTGTGCCCTGTTGTGGCCCCACTCTGCATGATTTCGATTGTGACGGCAGATCTCAAACTTGTTCGGGTAGCCAATAAACTGTACCATTCTAACATAGTGACTGGCAGTCAATTCATCTATGTACTATTGGTAAGCTAGCGCCACATAAGGCAAAGAATGTAGATGAAGGGGGCCATGGCAGACATTGAGGAACAGGCCATCGACAACAAGGGACATTGAACATCATCAGTGGCAATATAAACCATGGCCAGAGCAAATATGCAAATAATTGTGGGCATGCACTGCATCAGTGTATTGAACTCAGACTTCAATGGCGACTCAATTATATGACGCCCAAACTCATCCATAAGAAAAGCACGTTCAGTAGTTCTTTGGGCTGGCAAATTATTTTCGAAAGTTCATTTAGGGCTATTCGAAAATGGCAACTCCCTTAACAGACTTGACCCAGAAGAATGGCAAGTGGGAGTGGACAGCCGAATGTCAAACAACATTTGAGCACATAAAGGAATGCTTGACAACAGCCCCTTTGCTCAAAATGCCAAACCCCAATAGACCCTTCGAGGTCATTGCGGATGCATCCCAAACTGCTGTGGGAGCAGTTCTCATACAGGACAACCATCCAATCTGTTACACCAGCAGGAAGTTTCTCCCTGCAGAGCTGAACTATAGCATAATAGACCAGGAAGCATTGGCTTCTGTGCATACCGTCCAGTCATGACGTTGTTACCTGGAGGGTACATGTTTTAAACTGGTGACGGATCATTGCCCGTTGACATACTTAAAGTCACAGCCACAACTGAGTAGGCGGCAGGCCAGATGGTTAGAAATCCTGCAACAATTTGACTTTGATTGGGAATATCGCCCAGGGCGAAAGCATGTGGCTGATCCACTTTCTAGAATCCCACCTACGCCTGGTGAACAGGAAGCTAGGAGGAAAAGTCAATTGGCTATATGTGGCTCATGGGCAATGCACAAGCGGGGAAATGACCAAAGGCCGGAACGGATGGTAGAGGCAGAGGATCTGGCCTCCAGGATCCGTCAGGCATATAGCCACAATCCCAGCTTGAGTCTGTAAAATAGCAGCAAGAGTTGTGTTGTACAGACGATTTATGGTTGCAAGGCAAGCAGGTATATATACCATCCAGTCTGAGGACTGAGATCTGCCAGTTGGCTCATGACCATCCAAGTGCTGGACACTTTGTTCAAGCCAATACCGGTTCAGCGGTTCAGTGTTCAGCGGTATTACTGGTGGCCAGGAATACAATGAGAGATAGAGCTCTATGTTGATACCTGCCTAATTTGTCAATAGGCTAAGCATTCTTGCCAAAAGACTTCAAGCTTGTTACAGCCATTGGGCATTCCTGAGGAGCCATGGACTGAATTGTCTATGGACTTCATCATTCAACTGCCAAAAACTAAGGGAGGTCACGATGCCATCATCGTGTCCATTAATAGGTTGACCAAAATGGTGCACCTCGCAGCCACTATGACCGAAGTCTCCGCAAAAGGAGCGACAGACTTATTGGTGCAGAATGTGATAAGGCACCACGGTCTCCCTCTACGATAGTGTACGACAGAGATGTTCAGTTTACTTCCAGGTTTTACCGGTACCTAGCAGAGAGGTGGAAAGTACAGCTCAACATGAGCACTATGTACCATCCACAGACGGATGGCTAGACAAAAGTCATGAATCAGATTCTGGAGGATTACTTAAGTAACTATACGCATTTTGATCAAGACACATGGGACGAACTATTAGCCATGGCCGAGTTTGCAATGAACAACTCAAAGAACAGCTCAACCCAAGAGACCATGCTCTATTTGAACTACGGTCGACACCCAAGGAGTCCCTTAGCTCTTGGGGTGCAAATTCAGAAGCCCTTGAAAGGCTATGATAATCTGAATGCCTGCGGCTTGGTAGTGGCCATTGATAGGGCACAATAGCCTTATTTGAGGCGAAATGGTACAGCCCTTGTGGAGGGATTACCAGCCATGACACGATTTGATCACCATGTCCAGACAGCGCTGAAAGAGGCCAAAGAGTGCTTAGAGAAAGCACGGGCCAGGCAGTCAAAGCGTGC